AACTACTAGTACCCAAACCCCGTTACCCTACACGAATTATTAAGCAACACGTCATGACTCAACCCACAGCGTCATAGCAACAATATACGACTCACAGGTAGGGGAGTGTATGATGCTACCCGACTCTGGCCTTGTATCTCCATCCTACTGCGTCTTTCCCAACACACCCACCCACCTACCCTCCATTCTCCTTATTTATTTTACCCAGCTAATCACAACCTTCTATTTTTTTAGCCTCGTTTGTGGCGTAATTAAACCTATAACGTGATATTTTTTTTAGCTTTCTTAGTAACTAAAGAAAGACAGAAAAAAATTTCTATCGGACTTGTGAGATTTTTTTTTTACTTCTGGTGTAGATAATTTAAAGAAACCTCAAATACCTGTTGGATATAATTTTCTAAGGTTTACCTGTGGTTGGGAACTTGAAAGGTGTGTTTTTAAAAATATCTGAGCAGTTTTTTGTGTATAGGTTGTATCTTAGAGGAGTTATAATTTGCCATACTCAAGGTTGTTTACATTTTAGCAGTGCAAGATCAAAGCTATTGAGAGGTGGAAGAGAGTGCCCTCTCTTATTGTGTACATGGAGAAGTGTGAGAGTGCCCTCTCTTGTTGTGTACATGGAGAAGTGTGAGGGTGCCCTCTCTTGTTGTGTACATGGAGAAGTGTGAGAGTGCCCTCTCTTGTTGTGTACATGGAGAAGTGTGAGGGTGCCCTCTCTTGTTGTGTACATGGAGAAGTGTGAGAGTGCCCTCTCTTGTTGTGTACATGGAGAAGTGTGAGGGTGCCCTCTCTTGTTGTGTACATGGAGAAGTGTGAGAGTGCCCTCTCTTATTGTGTACATGGAGAGGTGTGAGGGTGCCCTCTCTTGTTGTGTACATGGAGAAGTGTGAGAGTGCCCTCCCTTGTTGTGTACATGGAGAAGTGTGAGAGTGCCCTCTCTTGTTGTGTACATGGAGAAGTGTGAGGGTGCCCTCTCTTGTTGTGTACATGGAGAAGTGTGAGGGTGCCCTCTCTTGTTGTGTACATGGAGAAGTGTGAGGGTGCCCTCCCTTGTTGTGTACATGGAGAAGTGTGAGGGTGCCCTCCCTTGTTGTGTACATGGAGAAGTGTGAGAGTGCCCTCTCTTGTTGTGTACATGGAGAAGTGTGAGGGTCCTCTCTTGTTGTGTACATGGAGAAGTGTGAGGGTGCCCTCTCTTGTTGTGTACATGGAGAAGTGTGAGGGTGCCCTCTCTTGTTGTGTACATGGAGAAGTGTGAGGGTGCCCTCCCTTGTTGTGTACATGGAGAAGTGTGAGGGTGCCCTCCCTTGTTGTGTACATGGAGAAGTGTGAGAGTGCCCTCTCTTGTTGTGTACATGGAGAAGTGTGAGGGTCCTCTCTTGTTGTGTACATGGAGAAGTGTGAGGGTGCCCTCCCTTGTTGTGTACATGGAGAAGTGTGAGGGTGCCCTCTCTTGTTGTGTACATGGAGAAGTGTGAGAGTGCCCTCTCTTGTTGTGTACATGGAGAAGTGTGAGGGTGCCCTCTCTTGTTGTGTACATGGAGAAGTGTGAGGGTGCCCTCCCTTGTTGTGTACATGGAGAAGTGTGAGGGTGCCCTCCCTTGTTGTGTACATGGAGAAGTGTGAGGGTCCTCTCTTGTTGTGTACATGGAGAAGTGTGAGGGTCCTCTCTTGTTGTGTACATGGAGAAGTGTGAGGGTCCTCTCTTGTTGTGTACATGGAGAAGTGTGAGGGTCCTCTCTTGTTGTGTACATGGAGAAGTGTGAGGGTCCTCTCTTGTTGTGTACATGGAGAAGTGTGAGGGTCCTCTCTTGTTGTGTACATGGAGAAGTGTGAGGGTCCTCTCTTGTTGTGTACATGGAGAAGTGTGAGGGTCCTCTCTTGTTGTGTACATGGAGAGGTGTTAAAGTGTCCTCTCTTGTGTACGTGGGAAGTTATAGGTGTACATGAGGAGTAAAAGAGTGTCCTCTTGTGTTGTGTGTACATTATATATGGTTGTGAGAATGTCATCTAATGTTACGTGTACTGCTGAATGAATGTTCTACTGTTAGTTATACTGTAACATAAACAAATAGCTTTAATGTCTGGTCGTTGAAGGTCTTAGCTATTCTGATCCAACTATAAGCTCCTCTGTTTTCTAAGCATTTAAAAATTGTAAATATTGTTGTACTTGGGACAATGTATCCCACAGTTATGCAGGGAGAGGGTTTATAATACCATCATGTTCCTCTCTAATCATTCAGTGGTTCATCCTCTAGTTCTGACAAGTACGACGACATCAGTGTTGACAAATGATTCAACAGAATGACATTATTTAATTTTACTATTTATTGCACTACATTACGACGTCATCCTAAGACAACAAGAACAAGACAACCTAACCTAATTAAACACACATCATTACAGATCTATTTGTTATATCTAAAAAAGAAAAAAAAATGGTTATGATGCAACAGGCATTAAAAAAACATGCTCAAGGACACTAAATTTAGATATCACAGATATGTATAATGGGATGCTATACAAACCAAAAAGATGTAAAGAAACATTATTATACATAGAAACAATAGTAATGGAATGTGCATAACCATGAAACAGGATCTATGTCTTTTGTTCTATTGTAGCATCTGGTGTATAATTACATGCAGTGGTATTGGGGGTAAGGCTAATTTTACATGGACATTAATGCACTCAGTTAAGTGTTTTGGTATACACACATATGGTGTAATGGTTAGTGTACCATGTGTTAAGTTGTACGGGGTATGTTCTATGTTCGTGTTCAGTTACACAGCTGTTCAAAGTGGCAGGTGGTTTAGTCACATGATTTAGCTGGAACTGGGCTGATGAGTTTTCATTAAAGCTTCATTTTCTGGTGGGGCTTGGCGTGGGTTTTTTTTAAAATTAAAATTTTGTTATCACTAAAGTGGGGGCTTCAACAAAGTCATTTAGATGACACAACAGTGGAACATTGCATGAAAACTTGGCACTGATATTTCTGACTTACTTAGGGATTAGGGCGTTGACCCTTTCCCCGTCATCACAATCCCCAGGTCAGTTACACAAACACACCCCCAGGATTTCCCACACACCCCTCTTCACTTATCTATATCCTCCTTGTCTAGCTACCTAACTCCATCCCTAAACCTAACTGTAACCCTATTCCTAACCTTATCCTTAACCCTATAACTAACTCTCTTCAAAGCCTATTCCTAACCTTATCCTTAACCCTATAACTAACTCTCTTCAAAGCCTATCCCTACCTGTATCTCTATCTCAAAATGACGAGAAGGTAATGTACTACTGCAACGTTTTGGGTGGTGAGGTGGTGATGAATGGGATGATAAAGTCATGCTACCGTTATATATTGATGATCTTTATTTAACATGCTGTATGGTACAACACATCGTGCTGGTATAAATATACTTTACTATTTTTGAACAACTCAGGTTTATGTAAAAACAGTCTTCTGCTGTTTTATATCCAGTCTACTTGCAGTCTAAAATAATCTATTCTTAAATTCATAATCTCTCAAGTTAAGCTATAGATAATCATGTTATGAGAAAGCATATGCATTGCTTGACAATAACTGAATTGAAAAACGTACTTAAAGTAGTAGGTCGATTTACTGGGCAAAAAAATTGTAAATCTCGTAACTTTTATGCCCTTCTCTCCTCCACTTCCCCCCCCCCCCCCCTCAATTTGTTTCCATGCTGGTGATTTGTCCATTACAAAAGATAATTTTAGCTTCAGTTTCTTCTCTTGTAGATTGTCTTGTTGCTTGCCAAGGTAATCAGTAATTAGCTTGATTAAGCTTTCTTGTCTAGCTCTCAGTGACTAATTTGTAAGCCAGCATTAGAAGCAGCAGTTGGCAGGGTTAAGATGAATGAACAAAGCTTGTGTTTATTTGTTGGAATCATTTGTTATTCATTATTTTAAAACCGCTCTCGTATTTTTGGGTTCTTGTTCAGAAAAGATACTTTAGATTTATGCAATATTTTAAACGAGTGAGTATTTTTTTCAATGAAGTGATATCTTTATATTGACTGTGTATGATATTGATATCTGTGATGTGATTTCTGAAACCATGTGATGGATTTTATAAACAAAATGGGATTAATCAATTTCTGCCTTGTTAGAGGCTTTGGATATAAGTGTGTAGGACCAGAGGGGGATTAGTCCATTGAGAGATAGAGTTGTACATGCCTCAATGCCTCCACAAGAACACTCCCCTCTCTCCACTGTGTCTATGGCAGTAAGGAAAGCCAGAAAGATTGCAGGGTTAGAGTGTTTTAGCTGTGTTCTGTGTGGACACTCCAAGCAAATCAAGGTAAGATGTGGGACTGGATCAGCAGTGGCGAAAGTCTTTGATGGTGAGGCTCTAGCCTATAACAAAATACACTGATTTTCAATTATTTTTTGGTTGGGGTGACTGGTTTATTTTTACAAAAATTAAACCCGGCTTTGAAAATTGTTTATCTGCTCACTGCCTGCTGTAGGGTAGGGTAGAATGTTGCTCAACTTTGTCTTATTTATCAAAACTACGCCTGTCTTAACAGTGGTTCTTAACCTTTTGGAGGTACCAAACCCCACTAGTTTGATATGCGCATTCACCAAACTCTTTTTAATAGCAAGATCTTACTGCATTGACAAATTCTGATTGCCAATTATGAGTTAGGTGTGTGTCTTTGCCTTCTTGGGGTTTGATCAAACCTCGTTTAAGAACCCCTGCCCCCAGGACTTTCATAATCTTTCAAAATTTTGTTTTATTATTAAACACAACAAAAATTTAGCATCAAAATTATTTTGTAACCAAATTTTAAAATGTAAATTTCATGTTAAGCCAAAGCTGTTCTAAGTTTTGGTGGCTTATCTGGCCACTGAGAGTTGTACTAACAAATGGCAATGCTGTTTACTGTCCAGAAAAATGGGCCAGAAAGTATATAATTGACACATTGAGAGCTACAAAACAGTCTTAGATGTGTGTCACCTTATCTCCCCAGCCTGTGATCAATGCTGGCACCAAGGATAAAGATGTCGGCATCACCTCAGGGACAGCTGTGGAACCCGCCAAGGTGCGCCAAGGGACGGGGCTGAAGGATACCATCCCCTCCCACAACAACGGTGACGGCTTGTCCAACTCCACCCCGGAGCTGTACCCAGGCACACGCAAGCTGCCTAGTAAAGAAGATGATGTGCAGCAGCCATTTCCTGCCCCAAGACAGTCTGTGCTTAAAGGTGAGGACCTTGATTGTATGTAGGAGAAATTTAATTGTGATAGTACATTACATCAACCAATGCTTTATTAATTTCTCATGTAAATCATGGTGCACTAGCATTAAAAAAATGATATCCTTTAAACCTGGTGGTCCTCAGGGCAGGTGGAGTAGAGTTTGTTTTCTATTACATCGGCTCATGCCCCGCTGCCTTTACTTTTCCTAACGTGAACCAGATATACATTAGAGCTGGGTGAACTCAGGGAAATCCTACGGACTCAAAACTGGGATCCGAACTCAAAACTTTTGGGTTAGCAGTTGTATGATCTACCATCAAACCATGCTCTCCCATAATGTATTAGTATAGCTAAGAAAATGTATTTCCTTTCTTTATGTAGTCCTTGTTTTGGTAGTTTGTTTACAATGGGACATAGAACATCATAAATAAGTGATGTCACACCTAGAAGGAAAATTCAGATTTCTTTCATGATTGCTGTACTTTGGGGGTTTTTTTTTGTATAACAAAACATATTTGATATTTAAAAAAAAAATTGCTGAAACACGTGTTGAACATAGTGGTGTCATTGACCAGTGGTGTCATTGACCGGTAAGTGGTGGGGTAAAAAGCTATAAAAGTTTGTTTGACAACTTTTATGGCAAGTCGCTAAACTTTTGTTATGAGATAATGGAAGTATGGAAGTAAATTTTCATATACAACAAAGCCATCATTATATTTAGAATTTTGTAGCTGCTTACAGATATCTTTTGAATAGGGTGCTAAAAGTGTCAAGAGAATTATGCTTAGCTTTAGTTGTCTTATACGTATAATGTGTGAAAAAGATTATGTGTTTATTTAGATACCTCAGCTGTCAAAAATATTAACAAAATTATGTTTACACTTAGATACCACAGATGTCAAAAATATTAACAAAATTATGTTTACACTTAGATACCACAGATGTCAAAAATATTAACAAAATTATGTTTGCACTTAGATACCACAGATGTCAAAAATATTGAAAAAAATAATGTTTATATTTTGACTTATCAGATTCAAAAATATTAACAAAATTGTTTATTTTTGACACCTCAGATGTGAAAAGTATTAACAAAATTATTTATTTTTAGACACCTCAGATGTGAAAAGTATGAACAAAATTGATTATTTTTAGAAACCTCAGATGTCAAAAGTATCAACAAAATCGCCAGCGATGTACGAGACAACAACAAAGAAAACAGGCAGAAGAAGCAGCGCAGTAGCCGGCAAATCTTTAATGTCCACATACCCCAGTTCTACTTCCCCTCTGGGAAGCCAGGGAATGGGGCGGAGCTGGACAACATTCTGCAGCGTGTGGCGCTGGAGTTTAACACACTGGATGGGGGCAAGGCTTACAAGCAACAGATGGCTGCCATCACTAAGGTGAGTGGGTCAAGTTCAGTCAGGGAAGTTTGTGTGGAGTGTTGTGTTTGCGTTTGGAATGGGGTGGTCAAATGGTAGAGCATTTGGGTGCTATCACTAAGGTGAGTGGGTCAAGGTCAGGGGAGTTTGTGTGGTCAAATGGTAGAGCATTTGGCTGCCATCACTAAGGTGAGTGGGTCAAGTTCAGGGGAGTTTGGGTGGTCAAATGGTAAAGCATTTGGCTGCCTTCACTAAGGTGAGTAGGTCAAGTTCAGGGGAGTTTGGGTGGTCAAATGGTAGAGCATTTGGCTGCCATCACTAAGGTGAGTGGGTCAAGGTCAGGGGAGTTTGGGTGGTCAAATGGTAGAGCATTTGGCTGCCATCACTAAGGTGAGTGGGTCAAGGTCAGGGGAGTTTGGGTGGTCAAATGGTAGAGCATTTGGCTGCCATCACTAAGGTGAGTGGGTCAAGGTCAGGGGAGTTTGGGTGGTCAAATGGTAGAGCATTTGGCTGCCCTCATTTCATATCAATGAACTCTACTTCATCTGCCTAATGGATCACCAGGTCTAAAAAGAATCTTCACTATATTTGTTTCAAGTGCTTGTGGGAGAAATTCTGTTAGGTAGGCCGATAGCGCTTTGTGGGGTAATCTAGGTAGTAATTCTTACAAAATTGAAGGGAACAAATACGAGCAACAAATTTACACAATAAACTTTGACTTGCCAGTCATATGGCTGGGTCACATAAGTATGTTTGTCACATGACCAAGTCACATAAATATACATCTGGTCACAGAATCTTTTAAGCATACAAGCCACATATACATGTCACATGACCAAGTCATAAAAGTAAACAAGTTGGCTTGAAATATGGCTGTATCAGAAAAACCTTATTCTGCTATTAATTCCTAATTATATAAGTCACTTGAAAACTGCTTGAAAGTAGATGACTGAGTATATTTTATTTTGGGCCAGACACCACATATCAGAAACCACAGATGATTAACATACCCAGACACCACGTATGATTAACATACCCAGACACCATGTATGATTAACACAGCCAGACACCATGTATGATTAACATACCCAGACACCACGTATGATTAACATACCCAGACACCACATATGATTAACACAGCCAGACACCATGTATGATTAACATACCCAGACACCACGTATGATTAACATACCCAGACACCATGTATGATTAACACAGCCAGACACCATGTATGATTAACATACCCAGACACCACGTATGATTAACATACCCAGACACCACATATGATTAACACAGCCAGACACCATGTATGATTAACATACCCAGACACCACGTATGATTAACATACCCAGACACCATGTATGATTAACACAGCCAGACACCATGTATGATTAACATACCCAGACACCACGTATGATTAACATACCCAGACACCACATATGATTAACACAGCCAGACACCATGTATGATTAACATACCCAGACACCACATATGATTAACACAGCTAGACACCACGTATGATTAACACAGTCAGACACCACATATGATTAACATACCTAGACACCACATATGATTAACACAGCTAGACACCACGTATGATTAACATACCCAGACACCATGTATGATTAACACAGCCAGACACCATGTATGATTAAGATACCCAGACACCACGTATGATTAACATACCCAGACACCACATATGATTAACACAGCCAGACACCATGTATGATTAACATACCCAGACACCACATATGATTAACACAGCCAGACACCACGTATGATTAACACAGCCAGACACCACGTATGATTAACACAGCTAGACACCACATATGATTAACACAGCTAGACACCACATATGATTAACACAGCCAGCCACCACATATGATTAACACAGCCAGACACCACGTATGATTAACACAGCCAGACACCACGTATGATTAACACAGCCAGACACCACGTATGATTAACACAGCTAGACACCACATATGATTAACACAGCTAGACACCACATATGATTAACACAGCCAGCCACCACATATGATTAACACAGCCAGACACCACGTATGATTAACACAGCTAGACACCATGTATGATTAACATACCCAGACACCACGTATGATTAACACAGCTAGACACCACGTATGATTAACACAGCTAGACACCATGTATGATTAACATACCCAGACACCATGTATGATTAACATACCCAGACACCACGTATGATTAACACAGCTAGACACCACATATGATTAACACAGCCAGACACCATGTATGATTAACATACCCAGACACCACGTATGATTAACACAGCTAGACACCACGTATGATTAACATACCCAGACACCATGTATGATTAACATACCCAGACACCATGTATGATTAACATACCCAGACACAATGTATGATTAACATACCCAGACACCACATATGATTAACACAGCCAGACACCACATATGATTAACACAGCCAGACACAATGTATGATTAACATACCCAGACACCATGTATGATTAACATACCTAGACACCACATATGATTAACACAGCCAGCCACCACATATGATTAACACAGCCAGACACCACATATGATTAACACAGCTAGACACAATGTATGATTAACACAGCCAGACACCACATATGATTAACACAGCTAGACACCACATATGATTAACACAGCCAGACACCACATATGATTAACACAGCTAGACACAATGTATGATTAACACAGCTAGACACCACGTATGATTAACACAGCCAGACACAATGTATGATTAACACAGCTAGACACCACGTATGATTAACACAGCTAGACACAATGTATGATTAACACAGCTAGACACCACGTATGATTAACACAGCTAGACACCATGTTATGATTAATATTGCCATGAGTGTTCTTTAAAGCATCCAACTAAAAAAGCCAAGTTACCCTAACCTATATCTGACACCCAGACATCATTAACTTTATATTTTTCTTGACATTTAATAAAAAGGGTTGGATCTTGTACATGCATAGAGTGCACACATGTTAGCTAGACATCCTACTTGATGGATTCACCTCTTCCATCAGGTTTATTTTAATCCACTTGAGCAACTATATATCCAATCATTTTATAAATCCATTATGTGTATTATACAGTCCATAGAGTTTTGTTTTAATTTACTTAATTGGCAATTTTTTTTATCAACTTGATTATAATTTACATGTTTAAAAAAGATGAAGCTGTTTGATAGATTATGTTTCATCATTCAGTTTCTTAAACTCCACATGGATATATATATATATATATATATATATATATATATATATATATATATATATATATATATATATATATATATATATATTGCGGTATAAAACATTTTTTTTAAACCCACTGGATGGTTTATATACACATCATTCAAATCTGTTATAAAGGTTGTATTACATAATTAAGCCATTTACAAACATCACCTGACAACTTTCTGACACCTACAAAAAAATTTGGGATGGAAAATGTTTAATTTCAAACCCCCTCCCCCCTCATCCTGGGGTATCAGTCTTGTCAGGGTGCACTTCCTGTTGCCGTGATAACTTTTTATCTACCCCAGGAATGTGCTGCAGTAGTTTATATTTTCATAGATTGAACTTTTTTTTTTAAAACAAGACAGCCTGATTATATGAAATAAATTCAAGTATTGGTTGATGTTTAAATAATTTTGCTTCATTCTTTTGCTTATACATTAACTAGCTATATCAGAAAAATTCTTAATATTTGAGGATTAAAAAAAGATCAATGGTTAAAGTGGATGGAAGTTAGTATAATGTCAGTAATTGTTCCACCTGCCTTTAATTTTCTAAAGATTATAGTTAAACAAATAATTCACACTTTCTAATTGTCTCTGTATGTTAAATGTAAAATTAAACAAATATTTGTAGCTCTGACATAATTGCTCTGAAAATATTAAATAGCTAGATGTAATATACATGCAGGTATTTATACCATACTAAGCCTTAATAATGTTGATAACTAGTTGTTATACATATGCAGGTTTTTATATAGTACTAAGCCCTAACAACGTTGACAGTTAATGCATGCAAGTATTTCTATTATACTAACCCTAATAATGTTAAATAGCTAGTTGTAATACACTGACCGCTATTGATACTGTACAATGCAAGTTTTATACTAGTAAAGCAAGTTTTATACTAGTAAAGCTTTTTATACTAGTATATAACATACTTGTCTGTGTGATGGTGTTGGCAGTGAGTTCTGGGCAACACCATGTTTACAAGCACCATTAAATGTGGTAGATTAGATGGTTGTGATATTGAGTTGTAGAGGGAGGGGCTAAATGCTGTCAACAATTACCTCAGACTTGAGAATCTGCTTGAAGTTGATGGTGGCTTTAGTGTACCCCAGTCACCCCATGTTCTCCCCTAGTGCAGATATCAGCTGCTGAGTTCTGATAGTCTGGCGCTGATGTACCAGGATCTTGGCCTGGTATCTTGTGATACACTACATCTGGGGGGGTGGAATGTTTGATCCCAATACTATAGTAATTGCGATTTTGGATGGAATGTTTAATCCCATTACTGCAGTAACTGCTGGTGTGGATGGAATGTTTTATCCCATTACTGCAGTAACTGCTGGTGTGATTGGAATGTTTAATCCCAGTACTGCAGTAACTGCTGGTGTGATTGGAATGTTTAATCCCAGTACTGCAGTAACTGCTGGTGTGATTGGAATGTTTAATCCCATTACTGCAGTAACTGCTGTTGTGGATGGAGTTTTTATCCTATTACTGCTGTGGGTCAAGAGTGCCTAAAATTGGTTGTTAGTGTAAACTTGCCTGGGGTCAAATCCCAATTACCCATCCAAAAACTGTAAAAGAAAGAAAAAAACATGTGTTCATACAATAGACATAACTATCCCTTGTGAATGTTGGTGACCCGAAAAATGTACAACAGAGTATTCATAGACCTTAGCAAAGAATGACTACATGTGAATTGTAGCATAATAAAACATTTTGCTACAAAATAATACAAAATTAAAATTTGTGTTTGCGCATTTTTCTTGCAGTTTTCTGGGAACCTTGAATGATATGTGCGTGTGAATGTTATGGTGATGTGAATGTTATGTGCTTGTGAATGTTATAGTGATGTGAATGTTATGTGTGTGTGAATGTTATGGTGATGTGAATGTTATGTGTGTGTGAATGTTATGTGCATGTGAATGTTATGGTGATGTGAATGTTAATGTGAATGTTATGTGCGTGTGTGAATGTTATGTGCGTGTGAATGTTATGGTGATGTGAATGTTATGTGCTTGTGAATGTTATAGTGATGTGAATGTTATGTGAATGTTATGTGTGTGTGAATGTTATGGTGATGTGAATGTTATGTGTGTGTGAATGTTATGTGCGTGTGAATGTTATGGTGATGTGAATGTTAATGTGCATGTGAATGTTATATGCGTGTGTGAATGTTATGGTGATGTGAATGTTAATGTGCATGTGAATGTTATGTGCGTGTGAATGTTATGTACGTGTGAACGTTATGGTGATGTGAAGGTTATGTGAATGTTATGGTGATGTGAATGTTATGTGTGTGTGTGAATGTTATGTGCGTGTGAATGTTATGGTGATGTGAATGTTAATGTGCATGTGAATGTTATGTGCGTGTGAATGTTATGTGTGTGTGTGTGAATGTTATGTGCATGTGAATGTTATGGTGATGTGAATGTTAATGTGCGTGTGAATGTTATGTGCGTGTGAATGTTATGTGCGTGTGAATGTTATGGTGATGTGAACGTTATGTGCATGTGAATGTTATGGTGATGTGAATGTTATGTGCCTGTAAATGTTATGTTTAACAATACCCTGATGATGTAGGTATACCTATTTGTTTTCCCACCAAATCAGCCATTGATAGAGTCAATTTTCAGCTTAGCTTATATCTCCTAACCCTGAATAACATTTTTATTTAATAATTACTTTCATTACCATTTATTTAAATTACTTTCATTACCATTTATATAAATATATTTTTTGTTGAAATACATAGCATAATATAATAGTGAAACTCGCAAAGATTACAAGAATTAGCATATGTTAAAACAGGTAAATCTGAAACATCAAACACCTGTAAACTTTTTTTATCATTGTGTTAGATCTTTACCAGCCACTGACATTCAGATCTTTACCAGCCACTGACATTCAGATCTTTACCAACCACTGACATTCAGATCTTTACCAGCCACTGACATTCAGATCTTTACCAACCACTGACATTCAGATCTTTACCAACCACTGACATTCAGATCTTTACCAACCACTGACATTCAGATCTTTACCAACCACTGACATTCAGATCTTTACCAGCCACTGACATTCAGATCTTTACCAGCCACTGACATTCAGATCTTTACCAACCACTGACATTCAGATCTTTACCAGCCACTGACATTCAGATCTTTACCAACCACTGACATTCAGATCTTTACCAACCACTGACATTCAGATCTTTACCAACCACTGACATTCAGATCTTTACCAACCACTGACATTCAGATCTTTACCAACCACTGACATTCAGATCTTTACCAACCACTGACATTCAGATCTTTACCAACCACTGACATTCACTGTAATGACATCAGCTCTATGACCATCGTATAGGGTCAGTCTTTACAATGTTTAACTGTTAGAATTTTGTGTTTCTCAGAAACACAATCCATACTGATCTAAAAGATTCTTCTTCCTTGTAGTTATTGTTTCCGTTGCTGCATGAAAATAATGTCTTTGATGTAAGAAAAATGTATTTTAACTTGGTTTCAACTGCTCTTTTAGCCTGTAAACAACTTAATTAGTCTGTACATTTGTTTTCTTGAGATGTTATCTGATGTTTCATCTTTACAAAACAAATTTTGTGGAGCCTTGTTTATTGGAGCTATTTAACTTAAAAAAAAAACAATTTAAAAATTAAAATTGGGCGTGGCTACGTGTATGTGGTTTATGTTTCATAACCCTCACATGAACATATGATGTTATACAACTAGAGATAATAGAAATTAATTTTTTAAAAATTCAAATTTCTTTTAAATACTTTTTTCTAGACCTGATGTCCTCATTAATTTTTTTATATGAAAAAAGCAACAAAAAAATATTTAAAAACCTGAAGCCAATTATGTGAGTTTATCTATTTGTTTGAAGATCCATTGACATTTTTGTTCTCTGTATAATCTGATAAATCTCTGCCTTGGTTTACAGGCATGTGGTCTCCCTTTGTACTGGAAGATTCTACTCTTCAGGGCCGCAGGGGGCACTAAGGAAGGATTCATCACATTTCAGACTCTTTCAGTTCTACTTAAAAAGTGAGTCTTTAGTGCGTTTATACCAAACATTTCATGGAAGTTCTTAAGACTTTATATACACATGAGCTAATGTCTCTTCTAATCTAGTGTTTTACCATCATTTACACTCTTAAGACTTTCTTTTCACAAAAACTAATGTGTCTTCTAATCTAGTGTTTTACCATTATGTACACTTTTAGACTTTATATACACAGAAGGTAATGTCTCTAGTGTTTTACCATCATGTACACTCTTAAGATTTTCTTTTCACAGAAACTAATGTCTCTTCTAATCTAGTGTTTTACCATTATGTACACTTTTAGACTTTATATACACAGAAGGTAATGTCTCTAGTGTTTTACCATCATGTACACTCTTAAGATTTTCTTTTCACAGAAACTAATGTCTCTTCTAATCTAGTGTTTTACCATTATGTACACTTTTAGACTTTATATACACAGAAGGTAATGTCTCTAGTGTTTTACCATCATGTACACTCTTAAGATTTTCTTTTCACAGAAACTAATGTCTCTTCTAATCTAGTGTTTTACCATTATGTACACTTTTAGACTTTATATACACAGAAGGTAATGTCTCTAGTGTTTTACCATCATGTACACTCTTAACACAGAAATTAATAACTCTTCTCAACTAAAAGTTCCCACAATTTGTCTTAGGTTGTATCAGACGTGTCATGACGACGCTGCCAAGTTCATGAGGATGGCTGCCAAGTCAGGAGTCACCACACTTGACTTTGATGACTTTGAACCTCTTGTTCAGGTGAGTCAGCATTTGAAACCACAGTGTTAAAAATTTTCTGTTAAAATATTTAAGTTTTACACAAGTCGTAAATGTTAGTGCAACTTTTCTGAGCTTTTTTTAGCAACTTATCTGATGTTTTGTAAAATAATGATGTTTTAGTAGCATCCTAATGATGTTTTCGTAACATCCTAATGGTATTTTGTAACATCCTAATGGTGTTTTTGTAACATCCCAGTAATGTTTTTGTAACATCCCAATGATATTTTTTTAACCTCCCAATGATGTTTTTGTAACATCCTAATGATGTTTTTTGCAACATCCTTATGTTTTTCTAACATCCTAATGATGTTTTGGCTACTTTCATTGACAGGATGTTGTAGAAACTCACCCTGGACTTACATTTTTACAAGATGCTCCAGAATTCCATTCAAGATATGTTACCACTGTAAGTAACTTAAGGCATCTTCACACTACTGTAAGAAACTTAAGCTATCTTCACACCACTGTAAGTAACTTAAGCTACCTTCACACCACTGTAACTTAAGCTACCTTCACACTACCATAAGAAACTTAAGGTACCTTCATACCACTGTAAGAAACTTAAGCTACCTTCACACCACTGTAACTTAAGCTACCTTCACACCACTGTAAGAAACTTAAGCTACCTTCACACCACTGTTAGTAACTAAAGCTACCTTCACACTATTATAATAAACTTAAATTATTTTCACATCACTTTAACCAACTTGAGCGACCTGCACTCCCCTTATAGTTTTACATAAACTACCTCCTCAACAAACAGATCAATTTTCATTAAAAAATGCATTAAACTCATTTGTCTTGTGTGTGTAGCAGTCACTAAGTGCTTGCCAAAAATAAGGGAAACTATTTCTGACAAGATATTTTACATAAATTCTCCATGAATCATTAGCTAGAGTCAGCTAATTAAAGCTAAAATCAACTTTACAAAGATCTATGCTCAGCTATTTAATTGCCTTTTAGATATCTTGCCTACTTTTTAGAATGCTATGAATGATAATAAATTTCCTAGTCTATGAAATTCTGCCAATCCAAATAAATATTAACATAAACAAATTGCTTTTTTTTTTAATTTGTAAAAATGTTATTGTGGGAATGTTCCGGAATGTTAGCTGTCAGACAACCGACATTTTTTTTTATTATAACTAGTTAATAATTTAGACACAAGCAGTTAGTTGTAATAGAAAAGATGTAATCTAAAATAAAAGGTCAAATCTTTTCCAGGTCATCTCACGTGTTATGTTTTGTGTCAATCGTTCCTGGTCAGGTAGAATCACCCTCGCAGAGTTACGCAAGTCCAATTTTTTACAGGTTTGTTCCCTTTATTATTTTTAGTAATTTTTGTTTTTAAATCTCTTTGATTACTGTTGCACAATCAATTATATTTCATCATATGATCTGAGATATAAATCCATGTAAAAAAAAAAACAACTTATGACAGTATTTTATGTTCTCATATTGTAATGGCTTTTGAGAGATTTTTTTATTTCCCGTACGTAAAAAAATTCTCCCCTGGCATAAAAAAAATTATTTCTCCTGACTTACTCAATCAGTTTCCATTTGTCTGATCTAATCCGTTTCCATTTGTTTCTTCTAATCAATTTTGACCTAACCAAGATGTTCCTCTTGTTCTGTCCTAATCAAATTGTTTCCCTTTTTTACTTTCTCGTATATACGAAGTATAGAGAAAGTATTGTAATCGTGCACAAAAATCACTTGAAATTTTAACAATTTTCACCGTATTACACCTTAGTCCTTCATCACATCCGAAGTATAGAGGACTTATTTTAATCGGGCAAAAATTATCAATCCAGATTTATCAAAATTAAGAGGTTTTATGCGTAATCCAGTCTGAAAAACTGGGCTTTGCAATTCTGTCCGTGTGTCTGTCTGTCTGTCTGTCCGTGTGTAAACACGATAACTTGAGTACCGTTACAGCTAGGTTGATGAAATTTCATATTTAAGTATTTTATCAAAATCTTAGATCCGTATCAACTTTTGAGCAATTTCCGATAACCGGAAGTGGTACTTTTTCTACTTTGAATTTTTCAAAAGCCTATAACTTGAGTACTATTACAGATAGATAAATAAAATTTCACATGTAAGTAAAAGATCTAATTCTCTACCTTCTGTTAAATTTTGAGTAATTCCCATTGACTGGAAGTACTAATTTACGCTACTTCCGATTTCTCAAAAAACTAATGTAAATTTTTAAAGTACTAATAATATTGCGCACTATTATGCACTTTTTTATTTGACGTTCACTTGGTGTGCAATTCTTTTGTCTACAAGATTTTATTCTATTTTTAAAACTTTAAGTATTTAAAATGGATTAAAAATCATGTCTATAGCCCGAGTTCCCATCCCCTGTTGTTTTATATAAGAATATTCGAGAAAGTTTAGGGGAGATCACTCCCGGTTTATTTCTTCTTGTCAAATCATTTCCCTTATCCTGACCTAATCAAATTGTTTCCCTTGTCCTGACCTAATCAAATTGTTTCCCTTGGTTTCTTCTAATCAATTTTGATCTAACCAAGATGTTCCTCTTGTCCTGACCTAATCAAATTGTTTCCCATTTCCTGACCTAATCAAATTGTTTCCCTTGGTCTGACCAAATTAAATGTTTACCTTGTCCTGACCTAATCAAATTGTTTCCCTTTTCCTGACCTAATCAAATTGTTTCCCTTGGTCTGACCAAATTAAATGTTTCCCTTGTCCTGACCTAATCAAATTGTCTCCTGTGTCCTGACCTAATCAAATTGTTTCCCTTGGTCTGACCAAATTAAATGTTTCCCTTGTCCTGACCTAATCAAATTGTCTCCTGTGTCCTGACCTAATCAAATTGTTTCCCTTGGTCTGACCAAATTAAATGTTTCCCTTGTCCTGACCTAATCAAATTGTCTCCTGTGTCCTGACCTAACCAAATTGTTTCCCTTGGTCTGACCTAATCAAATTGTTTCCCTTGGTCTGACCTAATCAAATTGTTTCCCTGTGTCCTGACGTAATCAAATTGTTTCCCTTGGTCTGACCTAATCAAATTGTTTCCCTTGGTCTGACCTAATCAAATTGTTTCCCTTGGTCTGACCTAATCAAATTGTTTCCCTTGGTCTGACCTAATCAAATTGTTTCCCTTATTTTGACCTAATCAAATTGTTTCCCTTGGTCTGACCTAATCAAATTGTTTCCCTTATTTTGACCTAATCAAATTGTTTCCCTCGTCCTGACCTAATCAATAAGTTGTATATGTGCAGACATTACGTCGGCTAGAAGATGAAGAGGATATCAACCAAATCAAGGATTTCTTTTCATATGAACATTTTTATGTCATCTACTGCAAGTTTTGGGAACTTGACAAGGACCATGACCTTTATATTGACAAAAATGATTTATCTCGGCATAATGATCATGGTAGGTTTTTTTGTTCAATCTTTTTGAATATGGTAGGATTTGTTCAATTTTTTTTATTGTGGTAGGTTTTGTTCAATCTTTTTGAATATGGTAGATTTTCTTCAATTTTTTTTTATTGTGGTAGGTTTTATTCAATCTTTTTGAATATGGTAGATTTTGTTCAATTTTTTTTTATTGTGGTAGGTTTTATTCAATCTTTTTGAATATGGTAGGTTTTGTTCAATTTTTTTTATTGTGGTAGGTTTTGTTCAATCTTTTTGAATATGGTAGATTTTCTTCAATTTTTTTTTATTGTGGTAGGTTTTATTCAATCTTTTTGAATATGGTAGGTTTTGTTTAATTTTTTTTTATTGTGGTAGATTTCATCTAATTTGATTTATTGTGGTAGGTTTTTAAAATCTGCTCAATTATATTTTTGCCCTATTTATTTCCTACCTTGTTTGTTCTACAGATTTTCACATTAATTTTTTTTTTACCCCAATAGTTTTTTTTCTTTCTTTTCACCAATTTTTATACCCTACTTTTCTGTTGTTTTTTTTTTTTCCTAAATTAATTTTTTTTTTCAATTTTTTATTAAAATCCCTGTCTGATTTCAAATCTCTTGATTAGCTCTGAGTTGTTCAGTGCAGCTTAGCAGCTATAGATCTTGTCACGTTAGACTTACATGTACACATTAAAACAGAGACAAAGATCTTTGTTTAAAACTAAACTCAAACTGATTAAGTTTGATCCATGAGCAACAATTGCCTAAATCTGAGTTAAAGATTACCTTTACACAATGTGGAATATCATGTCAGTTTTTAGTTGAATTGTTGTTCATGTACATAGAAAAAAATATTCTTGTACAAAAGAAATATTAAATACTCCTCAGCTCTCAACTCTCGGCTGATTGATAGGATATTTTCAGGGGCTGTCACAAGGTAAGTTGATTAACTTCGTTTATTTCACTTAGCATTTATGACTTAGCTGCTCTTTTAAGTACTTAGTATGTGGGGAAGGTGAATTTGAATGAATGGGAAATTTACTTTTCAAATAACTTTCTTTTTTCTCATGCAGTCTGTTAGTTTAAATGGTTGGAAAATTTCATTTTGATTCTCTGATGTGTATCACACTGTCTTTAAGTCATTGTGTGTTAGATTGCATGTTTGGAAAAGTTCATGTTGATCTTCCAAATTGTATCACATGGAGTCTTAAGTAACTGAGGGTGTGATTGAATGATTGGAAAACAATCCAGTCTGAAGATCACAAAGATGTTAAAAACATTGTGGGTGTGTTTTGCTTGACCTTTGCTTAAAGGGCAGTCTGTATAGAGACCTGGAACAACATTGATATCATCATCAAAGGCTGCAGAATTCATTGGGGGGAAGGAGATAAGAGACATATGTTTGGTTCTCTGTGAAAAAATAGGCTCTTGTGAAAGGAAATGTTTATTCTTTGCTAGATTTTTATTTTTTACTTTATGAGGTGTTTATTTTTAAAATGTTTTTTTTTTAACCTATAGAGGTGTAAATGTTTTAATTCTTGTAAACAATATGAATTAATTATTTAAAGAAAATTTTTTTTTTTTAAAAAGGTGTTAGTAAACAGAGAGTTTTGATCTAAGAATAGAGTTGTTGAAATAAATGTGTGTGTTTGTGGTCATGTGTGTCACCTCACCTTTTTTACATCTCATTTACATCATCCCTTTAACAACATCCTATCCACTCCATTTCTTCTACAACATCACAACCACATCACCACCTCTACATCACCACATCCACATCACCACCTCTACAACATCACATCCAGATCATCACCTCTACATCACCACCTCTACATCATCACATCCACATCACCACCTTTGAATCATCACATCCACATCACCACCTCTACATAATCACATCCACATCACCATCTCTATATCACCACATCCACATCACCACCTTTGAATCATCACATCTACATCACCACCTCTACATAATCACATCCACATCACCATCTCTATATCACCACATCCACATCACCACCTCAACATCAGCACCTCCACATCACCAACTCTACAACATCACCTCCAAATCATCAACTCTACAACATCACATCCACATCACCACCTTTGAATCATCACATCCACATCACCAACTCTACATAATCACATCCACATCACCATCTCTATATCACCACATCCACATCACCACCTCTACATCACCACCTCTACATCTACATCATCACATTCACATCACCACCTCTACATCATCACATCCACATCACCACCTCTACATCATCACATCCACATCACCACCTCTACAACATCACACATGTCTACAACCCTCTGACATGTCTAGCTTGTATCCCTGTTGTCAAAGACCTGTACCAGACCCCACCACAGATACATGTTCTTATTCCAGAGGTCCAGACTTCCAGGAGAGCCGGATGAGTTACAAGGAATTTGTCTGGTTCCTGCTGGCTGAGGAAGACAAGAAACACCCCACCAGGTACTGGTTCCCTGCAGGCTCCACACTGGCTAGAAGTTACCTGTGTGCAGGCTCCACACTGGCTAATATTTACCTGTGCAGGCTCTACACTGGCTAATATTTACCTGTGTGCAGTCTCTACACTGGCTAATATTTACCTGTGCAGGCTCTACACTGACTAATATTTACCTGTGTGCAGGCTCTACACTGGCTAATATTTACCTGTGTGCAGGCTCTACACTGGCTAATATTTACCTGTGTGCAGGCTCCACACTGGCTAGTAGTAACCTGCAGGCTCCACACTGGCTAGTAGTTACCTGCCTGCAGACTCTACACTGGCTAATATTTACCTGTGTGCAGGCTCTACACCTAATATTTACCTACCTGCAGGCTCTACACTGGCTAATATTTACCTGTGTGCAGGCTCCACACTGGCTAATGTTTACCTTCTCCCCACACTGGCTAATATTCACCTGTGTGCATGCTCTGCTAATGTTAACCTCCCCCCCCCCTTTCTCCTCTCTTGTTGCCTATCACTCAAAATTATTCAAGAAATAATTAGCCTTTTTTTACATTGTCATGTTTCTTTAACTTAGATATATTTATGATAAACTTGTAAATCAATACTTAATCACATTTTTACATTTTTAAAAGAAATTGGCTTATAGCTCCACCCCTAACCTTACCCTAAGGATTAACCCTAGACTTAGAAACATTGTTATCAATGCTACCTGCCATATGATGTAGATATAGATGATAGACAATGTTTACCTGTGCGCCTTTAATAATGTTTTGACTTAACACTAAAGCCAGTCGCTTAATGTAGGCCAAACTGAAAATAGATTTAAGGAGCAATAACTCTTGATTAGAGTCAGCAGTTTGACAGCATTTTAAGTAGAAGTTTTATTACCCATAACCACTGTCTTTTATGTTTTAACATTCAAAGTCTTTAAAAAGGTAAGAATCTCTTGGATAAAGAGCTTCAAGAAAATGTTCAGCTAACTTTTTCTTTCTATTTGATATAGAGAAATGATAGATCTTTTATTGATTCTGTAAGGAATTTTCCTTAAATATGGAGTGGTTGGGTTGGTTTTATTTTTTTTAAGTTTTAAAGTTTTTTAATAACTGCTTGCCACTTTTAATTATCTTCATCTTTAGTTCAAGTGTAATTTATATTTTTGTTCCTCATAAGATACCTTTATTAATATATTTTTTTTCTTTCAGTATTGAGTACTGGTTTCGCTGCATGGATTTGGATGGGGATGGTGTTATATCAATGTACGAGATGGAATATTTCCATGAAGAGCAGATGAATAAAATGGAGACCCTTGGCATTGAGAAGTTGCCATTTGAGGATACAGTGTGCCAGGTAATAGCAATTTCTGTGGTTTAGATGACACTTGCCAGTTTGTATGTTTGGCATTGTGTGTTTAAAATGTCTGTGATTTAGCTAGACACTTACCAGTTTGTACATTTGGCTTTGTGTGTTTAAAATTTCTGTGATTTAGCTAGACACTTGCCAGTTTGTACATTTGGCTTTGTGTGTTTAAAATGTCTGTGATTTAGCTAGACACTTGCCAGTTTGTACATTTGGCTTTGTGTGTTTAAAATTTCTGTGATTTAGCTAGACACTTGCTAGTTTGTACATTTGGCTTTGTGTGTTTAAAATTGCTGTGGTTTAGCTAGACACTTGCCAGTTTGTACATTTGGCTTTGTGTGTTTACAATTGCTGTGGTTTAGCTAGACACTGGCCAGTTTGTACATTTGGCTTTGTGTGTTTAAAATTGCTGTGGTTTAGCTAGACACTGGCCAATTTGTACATTTGGCTTTGTGTAATTACAATAGCTGTGGTTTAGCTAGACACTTGCCAGTTTGTACATTTGGCTTTGTGTAATTACAATAGCTGTGGTTTAGCTAGACACTTGCCAGTTTGTACATTTGGCTTTGTGTAATTACAATAGCTGTGGTTTAGCTAGACACTTGCCAGTTTGTATGTTTGGCTTTGTGTTCCATTACATACTCTCAACATTTTTCTGTTTCAGATGATGGATATGGTTTGTCCAAAAACAGAAGGGAAGATAACTCTAGGAGATCTCAAAGCCTGTAAAATGACCAACATCTTTTTTGATACTTTCTTCAATCTTGATAAATTTTTGGAACATGAACAACGAGATCCTTTTGCTAATGCAAGGGTAACTTTTTATTCTTTACCTTTAATCACTTTTTTTTTCTGCTACTTTGTTTTGCTGAATCTTATTTTACACAAAAACTCCTAGTCAACGAAACTTTTAATTTCAACCCGGTATAATTGGATGAATATCCGGATGGTCAGTCTCACAACCGCTAACCTGAAAATCATGAGTTAGGATCCTGAGCTAGTCTGTAGGGCTACCTACATCCCAGCTTTTATGGGTACCTGACAGGTTAGAGCAGGGGTCTCCAAACTATGGCCCGCGGGCCGGATGAGGCCCGCGAGGTCCTCTCATCTGAGATCTTTTGTCCATGAAAATAAACGTTTGTTGGAGATGGCTGAGGAGCTTTACTCAGAAAAATCACGACATGCCTGGAAGAAACTGGCCCCCAAACTGAAATTTGATAGTTAATGCGGCCCTCGGACTGAAAAGTTTGGAGACCTCTGGGTTAGAGCAACAAAGGTGGCATGCCATGATGCTGACCAAACTATCCTTCATATGCCGAAGTCACTGAAACAGATGAACTCTGCTCCATGTACCATGTGACTTGAGCGGGATGGGAAAAGATGATAATAATTTTATAAATTTGAACTATATAATATATTAAACTTTTTTTTTAAAGAAATTTATAAGTGAAATTCATTTCATCAAACGGAAACGTTCTGACTTTAAAAAAAAATGTTAATATAGACTTATTTGACACTGGAACGATATTTGATGGTTTATCCCTGGTATTTTCAGGATCCGAACCTTGAGCCCATAGAAGTGAATGACTGGAACAGATATGCTGAGGAGGAGTACGACATCCTGGTGGCTGATGAAGGCAATGCTGATGTGGAGGATGGGTAAGGTCAAGGTCTCACAGACCAGGGGGGGGGTTGGGTTAACTTGATTTAATCCTTTGTGGCCCAAGTGAGCAAAGGGCTGCAATCACACCTCTCTACTGGACTCAATTTTGGGCAACTTGGGTTTACTTGAGTACTTTTATGGTCCCTGTTGTGCTTACAGACACAGCGTCAAGCTACAAACATTAAATGGATCACACAAGAGGATAATTTTTCTCACTCAGTTTGGTAGGAAAGGGAGATAATTATAACACATTTTTTTCAATTTTCTTCCCTTATACCCCCCTCCCCTCCCCCAAATTTCCCCCATGTCTTTTTTTTTTTAATGACAATAAAAAATCAACTCTGTAGAACTGTTACAAGTTTGGAACAAAATAATTAAAATATCATATTCTTTGAAGCATATTTAATTAGTCAACCCAATAAAAGAAAGAATGTATCTTTTTTTTTTAAATTGACCTCAGCCAATAATAGTACTATTATAAAACGCTTGTATAAATCTATAAAAAAAAATGTTTTTATTGATAAACTGATATGAGTAGAGTGGGTGTCTCAGTGCAGTGTCTTTATGCAGGTATTCACTGTGGGATGAGAGAAATAAATCACCTTATGGGTGCTCCAGCCATCAACTTATTCAGCAGTAATTAAACCACAAGGTTCCATTACCTCTGTAAATCTAACACCTTTGCAGAGATATCAGTTTTTTTTTCTTTTGCATTTGTTACAAGTTTTTTTAAATCCTTTATTTTGTCTTGTTATCTTAACATGTTGCAACACTTTGGCAAAAAGCCTTTTATATTTCACAATAAAATTCATAAGGGTAATTTTCTTTTTCTCACTGTAGTTTTAAGGGGATACAACTCTTGATGTAACATTTTAATATTTCTTAACTTTGGTGAACCCTTAACTTTGTACATTGGGATGTTTAAAATACTTACACGTTTTTAACTGCATGAAAAACCTACTTTAAAATGGTTAAGGAAATATTAACAAACGTTTGTTTTAATATTTTTTTGTTAAATTTTTTTCTGAGGATTATTTTGCCACTTGATGACAGTTTTAAAACTTTTTAATAATTTTATATACTTAATTTTTTTTCCAAATATTATAGGTGTTAAATTTAAATGAGGTACCCTTGCAGGCTTTATGGTCCATATTGAGAGGGGGGTAGAGCAGTGAGTAGCGAGGTTGGATGTCACCCCCCAGGGGCAAAGCGAGGTTGGGTGTCAACCCCCCAGGGGCAAAGCGACCCACTTTCAAATTTTTTATTTGCACCCACCTCTTTTTCACCCCCCCCCCCCCCCCCCTCTCCTTCAAGTTTTTGATTTGCACCCCCCCCCCCCTCAAGTTTTTCTCTGTATACTTTGCTTTTTTTACCTTGGTTTCACCCCCCTAAATGGTGTCACCCGGTGTGGTCCGCACCCCCCCCCCCCTCACTACGCCTCTGGGGTAGAGTATTTATTTCTGTAAACTTAGCATAGGAAGGTAGTGTGAAGTCAGTGCTTGGTCTAGCAGCATTCACTTTCTTGAACCATGAGTGCTGGGTACTCGCACGAGCTGGGTGGACTCAGGGATGTGGTATGGGCATGCTGCAGAAACCCAAACTCAATGTACTAGTTGACCCCACTGCCTCTTATTATGGTTGAATCATTTATTTCTCTCTCTCAATCAGTAGAACAATAATGACATTAGTAGGCCAGTAGTTAAATGATGACATTGGTAGACTTTGTTACAGGGTTAAGTATATGATATATCTGATTGTGTTTAGATCACTTGTGATTTTTTTTTTTTTTTTTTTTCAGAAACTATGAAGATGATTTTGAGCCCGAGGACGATGATGAAGTTTTACGTGAAGAAATGTTGCGATTGGCTGACGAGGGCACGCCACAGAGATCTATAACAACTGGCCAATCTCACACGGCTGAGGATATTTATGATTTTAGTAACACTGGTCTCGGCTATTGAGCTGCTGTGTTTTTATCTTTACCATCTGTTGGTCCCATGGATAGAGGATTATCTTAACCATCTGTTGGTCCCATGGATAGAGGATTATCTTAACCATCTGTTGGTCCCATGGATAGAGGATTATCTTAACCATTTGATGGATAGACGATTATCTTAACCATCTGTTGGTCCCATGGATAGAGGATTATCTTAACCATTTGATGGATAGAGGATTATTTTAACCATCTGTTGGTCCCATGGATAGAGGATTAGCTTAAAACTTTGATGGTTCCATGGATTATTGAAATTTAGCAGTTTTGTCCCAAATTTGAAAAGATAAATAAGGAAGTGAATTCTGAGATCTAGTGGAAATTGTTTACTTGTTGGCTTCAGTTTATAAGAATCTCAATGTTGAAGTGAACATTTCATATCATCTGATCTTGTGCCTGAAGAAACAAACTCAACTATTTTGTTTTGTTTATAAATGATCATTATAGCACTTTTGAACAATTTTTTATAAACATATGTAAGAATGCTCATGGGTGGTGTTAAAAGAACATTTCAACACTTCACTACTAGAATAGCTGATGCAAAAGTTGAAGCAAATTTTGTAGGGATTGACTTACTTTAAATATTAACAATAAACCTATTTTTAAAATTATTTTAAGAAGTAGTAAATATATCAATTGAAAGATCTTGCTGTGTTAAATAAAACACTAACTGTTTAATAATTTACATATGTACTGTATTTTGAAAAATATTTTGCGTACTTTATTTATTTCACATGTCTAATATATTTATAAATATAGACTTGATTATCTTACATAAATTGATTTGATTTTAAAAGACACCAAAGAAGAGTGTAACATGTAAAATATTAACAAGTCTTTTCTCTGTATTCACCATTTCCCTTCTGTCTCTTTACATTTTCTCAAATTATTTTTTATTATTGTAATGACAAGTGTATGTTGATTTATGAATAAAAAAAAAGAAATTTAAAAGAGCTCTAGTCATTTTTGCCTATGGTTAGAATTCCAAGAGTTTAATTTATCGTTTCTAATTTATTCATTTCTTTAATTTTTTTGTATTCAGTTCTTTAATAATTATATGCTTCAGTAAAACAGTTTAAAAATATTAAAAAGCGGTTAAATATGTAATTTGATATTTTTATTTTTTTAAATTTCTTTTTTCAAAACAAGTAAAAAATATTTCTGATGAATGAGGGAAGAAGTTTGAATCTTCTGTACACAAACAACAAAATATTCACTTTTTTGTCTCATTAAAAATTTGACACTTGTATTTTAACAGTTGCCTTACATTTTCACTAAATTTTTTTACTGTTATTGCTTTATTTTTCTACATCTATTCTCTAATGTAAATTGTTTGACATTGTAAAAAAATTTGTTTTCAGGACCAGCATGTGTGATTGCCAGATTTTAAAAAATTTCAATGTTATGTCTAATAGACAGTCTGTGTATGAAAGCCAACAACGTGTGTTTATATTCAACAGAGTTGAATTACAAAGCTGTTTATTTTTCTGTTTTGGGAAGCAATTTACTAATGTGTTTAGCTTAAATTAATTACGTTGAACAATCATCTTTAAAGAAAACAAATTTAGTTACAAATTTTAAGATTTCTTCCTTTAAAAAAATACATAGCCTACTTATTTTTTTTATTTATTAACAGTATTAATTACTCTACTGAAGAGAGGATTAATGTTGAGCTTTTGTTATTTTAAACAGATGCTTAAATTTTCATCATCCTGCAAAATAAAAAATTCAGGTGTGGTGGTAGGTGGTAAAAATATCTTAAAAGCTTGCAACAAGTATGCAGTTGGCAACATATCTTTCTTACAACAGTGAAGTTAATTGCAACAAGTATCTGACACAAATGTGGGAATGTTAAGCAACATGCATATAATACATGTTTGTAATACATAAAGAATGTAGGCCTATTTGCCAATGTGTATGTCTTACAACTATATATTGCAACAAGTATGTGGACAAATGTGGGAATATTTAACAATATGTATGTAATACATCTAGAATGTATATAACATTTATTTCTCACAGCTGTATATTGCAATAAATATCTGAAACATGTTGGATCAAGCATAAGCAAATGCTAGTCTGATCACACTGCAAGCAGCAAGCATGATCTGTGTTAATCAATGCAAATAGAGTAGATCTACAGTCCTCAAGTTTTCTAGTAAAATATGTTACAGATTTTTCTTTCATATTTTTCTTATTGATCTATGGGCTGATAATTCACTTGTTTAAATGAAAGATGGGTTGTTGTTCTTGGTTTTACATGAAGAAAATGTATTGGCTTGATATTGAATACAACTTGCAAACAGGATTTGAAATGTTAATTAGCAATAGACATGAGTTGAATGTTTGATAGATATTAGACTTCAAATGTTGAATAAAAATATTAATTTGAATGTTTATTTAAATAACAAGACTGAATGTTTTTCAAGAACTTGAATGTTGAAAATAAACTACAAGCAAGTTTTGGAATGTTGAATTAATCCACAGACGAGATGTATATGTATAAAATTAAATTAACACTTTTATTGTTGAGAAGATTTTGAAAGAATTCTTAATGTTGAAATCTCTTAATATTGATAAAGCTTTGAATGTTGATTATACTTTAAATATTGAAAAGAAATTTGAATGTTGAGAAAACTTACTGTTGAAAAGACTTTGAATGTTGATGTTACTTGGAATCCTGAAAATAATTTTGAATGTTAAAAAGAGTTTGAATGATCCTGATTAAAAAAAGTGACAGAATGCTGAATCACAGACCAAACATATTTGTCTTAACTCTTCACATTTTTTCACACACAGAAGGAACCCTGAGGTGTAAAAAATTGAATTAATTTATTTTAATTTACTTTCATCTATGCAACATTGATCACCTAGCATTTTAAAAAATTAATCTCATTATTATTTTTAGGTGATTATAGGATACACAATTTTAGTTTTGAATTTAGTGTGAATTTATTTTTATTGCTGGTAGCAATTCAGATTTTAATTTTTTTTTAACATGTTTGCTTTTTATAATATTATAATTAGAAACTAGTTTAGCGGAAAAGTTGTAGTTTAGTTGTATTTTGTCCAAAAGTTAAAATATTAATTAAATGTTTTGACTTGTGTCAAGTTTTGTGCCTATTATGTGTTGATTTACTAGTCACCATATAAATGTTGACAGTATTTTTTTTCCAGAACTTGCCAGATAAATTCAAAGAAATAGGAATAAAAGGAGTAACCACTTGCCTAATTGGCATTTTTAAATGCCCAGTGTAAATTAAGTAGAAAATGTCTAAATGCAGGATTAAGTATTGCCTTATATATTCTAAAAGATTTTTTTCTTAATACTGTGATGCTTTATAGTTATGATGAAGTGTGATGTTTAACTGATATATCGTGATTTGTAACTCTTGTTTATATGCTGTGTTTATATTTGAGTGATGTATGAAGTTCAACTATTTGTATGTTATTGGGTTATATGTGTTCTGCGCTAGGAATCTTGTAGGCTTTTTTTTTTAAAATGAAGTATTATTGCATCTGGATAAATTACAGTAGTGCATCTGAAAATTACATTAATGCATCTAGAAAAATTACATTAATGCATCTAGAAAAATTACATTAATTCTCTAACCATGGTATATTTCTGTGAACATGTTACCTACATCTCATTTCTCTACAGTTACCATCATAAAATACCTTATCGATGAATGACTTTAATAAAAATCTTATCGATGAATGACTTTCATAAAAATATCTTATCGATGAATGACTTTCATAAAATATCTTATGGGTGAAACTCTTTCATAAAATATCTTGTCAATGAATGACTTTGTATTGAGTAACAAATTAACCATTGCAAAACTGTACATTATAAAGCTGTGCAATTATGACTGATGCAAGGAAATGAATTGTTTACATTATAGTCATACCATCATGCATTGATTAAAAGAGTAGAATAACTGATGTATTATAAACAAATATTAATTTGGTTCATAATCCGATTATTTATTGATTGAAGTAGCTCATATATCTATCTTATCAAAACTAATCATTGATAAACACATCAGATGTACTAAAACATTGCCTTGAATCAAGAAAAATCTGTCACTAGTTTTATTTACTTTTCAGAATAGAAGTAGCTGTTCATTTGATTTTAGCGAATACTTTTTTAATTAGTATGTGTCACTTTGTTGATGAAATGTTAATCAACATTTAATTAGTGCTAATAAAAACAGTTGTTTGTTATGGAATCATTCATGTCATACAATTTTTTAAATTAAATAAAAATAAATTAAGGAAATTTTTTTGTCTTCTGTTTGTTGGTTTGTGTTATGTGGTTTATATTGTGTGGTTTGAGCTTTACAGTTTGTACTGTGTGCTTTGTGTTATGTGGTTTTTGTTATGTGGTTTGTATTATGCGGTTTTGTGTTATATGGCTTTGTATTGTGTGGTTTTTGTTATGTAGTTTATATTATGTGGTTTTGTGTAATGTGGTTTGTGTGATGTGCTTGTGTTTAATCTGGTTTGTGTTATGTGGTTTTGTGTTATGTGGTTTATAATCTGGGATGTGCAGCTTCCATTTCTCATGGGAGGTGTGAACAGTTGCACACAAATGTACAATCCATGGAAATGGAACGGCATGGTGGGATAGCACAGTGTACACCTACTAACCTGAATGTCCAGAGTTCGGATCCTGAGGGTGTGGGGGGGGGGGGTGTTGCCGTAGCTCGAGTCCACCAAACTCTGATTCATGTGAAGGAAGGTAGGTGGGCATAACTCTGACCACACTATTAAAACAGACGTACACTACTTCATCTCCTTCATGAACTATCAGGTTTATATACAGCTAGAAATAAAAAATTTATAACATAAATTATTCAAAGCTGCATTTAATGTAATGTATTGAGTGTCACATCGTCAGATTCTGTTTTCTTTTACTAGTTTCACATTGATGTCAAGTAGTGAACTTGACATCAATGGTAAAACGTTACTAAAAACACTTGGGTTTAATGGTAGGGGGGGGGGGTGCTAATATATTTTTGGGTGTAAAGGGAGGCACCAATATATTTAGGGCTTTTCATGGGTGGTGTCAGTAGTATAAGGGCTTTTCAATCCTATCTTGTGTTTTATTTTAGCATGTCAAGTATATGCTTCACAGAGAATACAATATATCAAGGTTTTGGTTCCCAGAAAATAAAAAGCGCAAGAAAAAAAAGAGGAAAAAGCAAAACCGAAAACTGTGCAAAAAAATAAATGCGTAACACAAACTCATTTTACTAATACAATTTCATTTGATCATAATAAGTGGAAAGATATTTTAGTATGCTACTTTTTACAAGTAGTCATTCTTTGTTAGTTTTATTTGAGTTTTTTTATTTAAATTCAATGTGCACTTGTTTTGCTCAATATTCCGTTGCACTTTTTTTTTCCATTGCGTTTTTTTTTCATTGCGCTCCAACTTCGTCAGCTAAGGTTCTATATAATATTGAGGCGCTAAGTCTTTGCTTTTTAATTGGAGACGCAACTTAATTCGATCAACCTGTTTAATGTTTATCTACTCAAAGCTCTTAAACATCTGGTATAATTCGAGGACAAAAACTCTGCATAATTAATTTCACTTAACAGCACCAATCTTTTCTACTTTTTTTATGGGAGATGAAATCCGTTGCAGGGGAAGTAAGCATGATTATTTTATGCAAGTTTTATTTCAGGATTATCTTGGCTGCAAGCTCTACGAAAACAAAAGCATCATTTCCAAGTCACGAGGAAGTGCTGACGGCAATACGTTTATATGGCGTCACTGAGGTGGGATGGGGGGGGGGGGGGGATACTGACTTTTCGGAGTTTTCTGACTGACCCCCACCCCCAACTTGTTTGTTACTGACTTATCACTATATAGAGGAATAAACCAAATAAAAATAAACAAAAAACCATTAGTAGACTTACAATGCTTGGACGGGTAAACTGTTAGTGTTTCTTTCAGGCATCTCATGGGGGAGGTGGATCATTGCCACCCCGATGAACGTCTACCCCCCCCCCCCCTTAACGAGAGAAATAAAAAACAAATAATAATAATAATAACATGAAGAAGAAGAACTATAGATATAACGATGATGATAATGACAACACTTATAGACATATAAGAAACGTGGATTTAGCGCAGAGGCGTAGCGACCCATTCCGGCGCCCGGGATGAACCATCCATTTTGCATCCCCTCAAGCTCATTTATTTATATATATATATATATATATATATATATATATATATATATATATATATATATATATATATATATATATATATATATATATATATATATATGTATGTTGAAGACTGATGAAAAATTGTGTAGCCTGTATAATTCAATACCCCTACTTAAAATGAGCTTTTACATTTTTTTTTCTGAACCTTTTGGCGCCCCCTTAATTTGCGGTCGCCCCTCCAGCCCTCCCTTAGGTACGCCACTGGTCTAGCGCTGCGTGTGAAAATGGAAAGTCCGTTTTTATATTTATACTTTTATCCCTATAATACATAAAATACAACCCCCCCCCCCTCCCCCTTTGTAACCATTAGTGTATGCTGCTTGTGTACAACTCACAAACTAGGTCACGCCGTTTTCGCTTTCCCGGTGCTGGGAATATTTTTTTTCCCCTTCGGGTAAATAAATGTCATGGTGGTGTCGCAGCTTGTGACATACTAATGTATTAATTAAGTGGGCAAACTATTAGGTGGATGTCATGTCTGGTGCTTTGCGATAGGCGAGGGTGGGGTCGGGGTGGGTGGACTTCTTAATAGCACTGTTATTACCAGAATTATACAATAATAAATAATTGTTGATTTATATAAATAGTTGGAGTTGAACTGACGATGATAACCGTTACTCTAGTATGTGTATAACTAGTTGTAGCCTTGTTCGGTTAGGGTTATAATAATAACGGTTTTGAGATAGAGTTTGATAGAGTAGTGGATATGTGACGAGTGATGTGGATATATGGCTAAATGGGGTGGAGGGGGGGTTGATAGGGATGTCAAGGAAATCGGGATGGGCTTGTCTAGGGAGCAGGGGTGTGGATGTATAGGGAATAGGGATGGAATGTCTAAGAAGTAGGTGTGGGGATGCCTAGGGAGTAGGGAGGGGAATGTCTAGGGAGTAGGTAGGGGGTGTTTAGGGAGTAGGGATGGGGATGTCTAGGGAGTAGGGGAGGGGATGTATAGGGAGTAGGGATGAGGATGTCTAAGGAGTAGGGATGGGATGTCTAGGGAGTAGGGGAGGGGATGTATAGGGAGTAGGGATGAGGATGTCTAAGGAATAGGGATGAGGATGTCTAAGGAGTAGGGGTGGGGATGTCTAGGGAGTAGGGGTGGGGATGTCTAGGGAGTAGGGGTGGGGATGTCTAGGGAGTAGGGGTGGGGATGTTTAGGGGTAGGGTGGGGATGTCTTGGCAGTAGGGATGGGGTTGACTAAAAACTGCATTATTTATTTTCCTTTACTCAAACGCACCGCCCAAAACTCTTAAATTATTTTCCTTTTTATTTTCTAGTTTCCGGCTTCCCCCCCCCCCCCTCCAGTTAATTGATTCTCAGATTAGTTGCCATCTAGCAGGCAGTGCCTAGCTCCCCCCGGGCTACGAGTCTCCCTGGGAAATACGTCGAGCATTTATGGGAAGAAAATTGAGGGTTCGTATGGTGAGGGGGGGGGGGGGTGGGTTGGGGGGAGGGGGATGGAAGTTTCAAATTAATTTCTTCGGTAATCATAGCAATCAGGACGATCTCGCTCAATGCGGGTAGTAGATGTGTGTGAGTGGATGGGTGTGGGTGAGTGTAAGTGCGTGTGTGAGGGTGGGTGCGAGCGGAGCTGAGTGCGTGAGAGTGATTAATAAATAATAATGGGCTGATTAATTGTAGGGATCCGAGCCGACGAATGGTTATTGTATTTTAAAGCTATTTGTGGGGAAGTGCGGGGAGGTTCGGGTCTAAGAGGTGTGGGGGGGAGGTTTGATACGGAGGTAGGGGTGGGGGGTGCAAGATTGCAACATGTGTGTGTATGTGTGTGGGGGGGGGGGGGGTCTGTCTAAATGATAAACTCGAATATCGATTAATTTTTTTCTTTTCTTAACGCTTCCATTTACAGCTGTTGGAGTTTTTCTTCTTTCAAACAATTTTTTTTTTAAACGTTTTAAGAGTTGAAAGTTTTTTTTTCTTGAATGTAAAACAAAAGCCTTTGTCTTCGCAAATAAAGCATGTATGTAAATTAAATTGTAAAAAAAAAGTAAAATAAATTAAGCTATTGTGCATGCTTTCATGTAAAACATTTGATCAGGTTTGGACTAATAACAAGACTACGTGGGCGTAAGAATAATTTATTTTTTTTGTCATTCAAAATTTTAAAAACTGTAAATGCACCGTCAACAATAGCTGTTTAACTTGTTTTGAAAGTGTGTATGTGTGTGTGTGGGGGGGGGGGTCTCATACATAGGCGTAGCAATCCATTTTTTCGCCCAGGGAAATGTATTAATCCTTCCCTCCCTCCCCCCCCCCCCCCCCCCCCCCCCGTTGGCGAAAAAAGCGCTCCTCCACCTCAGTCCTCCACCTCAGACTGAGCTTTTTATTTATTTCTACCACGTTTGGCGCCCCCTTAGGGTCGGCACCCGGGGCGGAAGACCCACCTGCTCACCATTGCTACGCCTCTGGGTCCATGGGATTTGGGGAATTCTAGCCGCTCATAATAAGTACTTCTCATAGTAGGACTAGAACCTAATAATTCCTTCTAAACATGCTTAGAAGGTGTAAAAATTCATCACAAAGGCAAATATTCTCCAGAAAAATATGAGATAGACGTTTTTGTTTTTTTGTTGTTTTTTTTAAATCCCAATTTTACTTTCGATCTAGAACGACATAAAATATAAAATTGTGAAAATTATATTGCTCATCCTTATTATTATAATGCCTAGCGAGGTTTTTTCCTTTTTTTTTATCCTTTGGAGTTTTTTTTTCCAATTTTTTTTTCCAAGCCAAGTTAAAATTGTGCTGGCTGGGAGGAAGTGTTGGGAACGGTCGATAAGGGGCAGTTCCAGCATGCATTAGCTGGTCTATTTATAGAGCTGATTTATTTTTCCCAGGGTCAGCACACGTGGTGCGAGGTTTTGAAACGTGCGCTAAAGGCTGAACCTGCTAGCTGGGGGGGGGGGGGGGGGGGGGGGTAAGAAGGGGCTGGGGGTAGTAGAGGGGGGTATGGAAGGTTTAAAGGGCGCGGAGAGGGGGGGTAAGTATTCAGGAGAAAGTGCATAGGGATGTAGACG